CGCGGCACCTGCCTGAGTATCATAGCTGGCGCGTAGCCAGATATGATACTGCGTAGATGCCCACTTGGCACGCGCCAGAGATACGCAGGCAACGCGCCGCGTGGTGAGCGACGCGTTGCAGAGCGGATGAGCGATTTTTAGGTTACGGTAGAAGAGCCAAATGCGTATCGACAACGACCATGTAGCACATCATCGGACACTTCAACTATTCCAACCCCGACGTTCGAATGCACTCACCAAGATCAGTTTCTTCACAAATTCGTTCAGACTTTGCTCATCGGTTAGATGGTGTTGCGCATCAACTCTTTCCATTCTTTCCAGCAAATTCAAGAGGAAGTTGACCAAAGTCACTACCTTCCTGCAGCATTTCACTCGAAAAACACTTCCTGTATCGTACATTTTTGGGAATCTGAGGGTGACATCGTAACGTTCCGGAGCAGCAGTGTCTGATTGGCTCTGACTTCGACTCTGACTAACTTTCTCCACTAGCGAGATGGCAGATGATCTACGAGAAGGAATCAAGCTCCCAGCCGAACGCGAACGTGATGAATGAACGTGCTGTTTCACTAAGTACACCTGGTTGTCTGTATACCAATTTCCGACGATGTTGCGTACAACCTCGTTCTCTGCACGCATGAGTGAACCTGAAGAATCATTAAGTATTACCTAACAAACAAGTAAGATGCAAGGAATTTCACCTCCGCTAGTAGAAGTTGCTGGATAAATGGGCCCAACAATGTCAAGGTAGTCGTAGGGGAGATCGTACTCAGCCATAGCTCGTCAGGATAGATCCCTAAACAAAGAATATGAAGAAATAAAGAAAGGAAGGTAGCTACTAAAGCACGGAGTTAAATGTAGCTTAGAAGAACTCAGAAGCAACCGCACGCCACGGCGTTAGAAGCTAAAATGAGCTTGCTACCTAAGAAGCACGCTGACGTGGACCACTGTCGCAACGCGCGTTGGCGCCAAATTGAAAAGCTACCGTATCCTTAGTACTGCCACCGCAGACCCAACACTTTCTATGTACGTCAGCTGCCAACATTGATATTATGAAAACCTTCTGGAGATCGGAGGAGTTCACATTCTCGCTGAGATACTGTGGTAAGCAACATACTAATATTAACTCTTGGCAACAGTTGAACCATTTCTGCCATCGATGCTTTGGATTTAGGAAACTTACACATTGCGCCAATGTGGTTCGCGAGAGTTTATCTACTTCAAACTTATCATGGCTACCAACCTATTGTATAAGTATCACGCTAGCTAACTATACTTTGAAAGATGTGATTTACCTTTAGTACAATTTGAATTCTTGAGTTCAGTGGATTAAATACTGCTATACATAGTTCAAGTGGTCTAGAAGAAATTACCATTACATGAAGATCGCCACGAGGGTTCTCGACCATTAGATATCCACCACCAGCTGCCAGAAATAATGGCCATGGACACTCACAACAAAAAACATACGAGGGGTTAGCGGAAGCTATGAAAAATGGTACCAACTAAATTCCAAAGATATAGTAAACTAGCACAACGTTAGCACGAAAGTATAAAAGGTTAAGTTGCATTTAGGAGGCATGACAGCAAAACCGCCAAACATGTCCATGTACAGCAAATTATTCGGATAAAGCAATTATATCAACTAACTTACTGTCTCATATACAATGAAGGGCTTGGGCGAGCTGATATCAGAGCCCTGCGGGTACTTATCCTTGCCAGCAAAAATCTGGAAATAGAAAGATCGAATAATTCTACTAGTTGCCACAATGACTTGATTCCGCGAGCTTAAACTAAGATTCAAAGGATAATCGATCACACCTACAACTCAAATATATGATCTGAATTCATGACTGTACAGACAAATATAGTACCAAGCTAACCCAGCGATGTGTGCCTCAGGCTTCAATCGCGAAACAAAAACACAAGAAAAAACTTCTGACAAATATATTGGCCCGTTTCAGTAGTCTCATCTTGTTAACTGTGTCGGTGAAATGTTCCAAAACTGACCGAACTTCTAAAATCTCAACATTACCTGTTCAGTTGGAGCATCGTCCTCAAAGACTCCATCGTCATCATAGGTTGACATTGTTTGACTTCCAATAGTCCATGAGGAAATCGCAGCAGTACAGGACAACCGCTCAGAAAGCCAAATGATGTGAAGTATGATGATGAAACCACGAGCATCATTGATTGTAATCATGGAGGTCTCCGTTTCAAACACGCGCCTTGAGTGGTCTTGACGCGATAGCGCTACAGATCTATACGGGACCTTCGGCCGTATCCGTGAAAGGGGGGTCCGTGCTGTACACTATCGATCCAAACGATCACCGGAGAACATTAAAAGGTTTTCCTTGTTATTCTACTGCTCTTTTGCTAGCTTCTTAGGATGTTTCTGACTTCGA